TATATATATATATTCCATCTTGTTCTACTTTCAGCTGGTCTTTGTTACATCCAAAGATACATGTCATCTTTTCATTTTTCTGTTGATCTTAACTCTTTAGGAGTACTCAAACCAGATAGGCCTATTTATATTCCTTCCAAGGAAGTTTCTTTGCTAGACCTTATACGGAAACATGACTGCGTCTGTAGCACTATGTCTCTCTTATTTAGAATTGTACTCTAAAAATGATCATTATTGTCGTTTACAGTGTGTCTGTAATACCCCCACCCCCAAAAAAACCCACCGCCAGTATAACATAGACAATATTCGTGTAACTACGCCTCTTCTTTTTATACTGAAAACAATGAATCTGTGATTTCTAGTGTAATACAGATCTCTAATTCTGAACAGTTCTTCTGAAGCAATAGCAAAGAGTAATATTTAATTGTTCTATGTATGGAGGAAAATAATGCGTTTATGCAAAAAGAGTCTTCAGTTCCTTTTGTTTAGTTGAATTATATTATTAGTTACTAGGAAATATATTACGCCTTTGAAAAGAGACAGTATTAAAATTTTTGTTTGCTTATTTGCTTGTCTGTACTTGCTTTTACAATCGTATGTGTATGTATCTGTGTATGCATGCGTTTGTGCGAGTGTACTTGTGAGTGTGCGTGCGCACGCACATGCACGCGCGCATGTGTATGTATGTGTATGTATGTGTGTGTGTTTGTGTGTCTGTGTGTCTGTGTTTTACTCACGGTCGTTCTTTTTTATATATGTATTCCTCTTGAAGACTCACCTCCAGTCCCCACATTACCCTCGTCCAAACCACGCTCGCCTGAACTCCTCTTCCGATGATATGGCAGAAGCGGCTAACAGCTTTCATAACCACAGTTCAGCCTCCATGCTCGCCTACAATCCCCACCAACAGCTGAACTCCAGCCATGACCATACATTCGCCAACCCCAGCCTTATGGTAAACCGAGAAAGTCCGACAGGCCAAAGTTCAAGTAACCCCGAACAAGTTTCCGGGTCCAACAACTCGAGTCAATTGAGTGCATACGCAGCTCCTGTACAGCGAAATCTCACTTCCACTTTCAAACCGAAAATAGGCGGCAGCTCCAGTAGCATCAACAAGAGCAGCAGTAACAACAACAGCAACAACAGCAGCAATCAAGATCCAGCTCTCGGCCCGGCAGCAAAATACCCGGAACCACAACTCTCCAAACGAGTTTCCAACACGGCCCCACGCAAAACCTCCAGCCCGTTTCAAAACGCACGGAATTTACAGCATGACGCAAAACCATTTGGAAGTTCTTCAGCGTCTCCACAATACGCTCCAGAGCCCAGCGTGGCGATCAGACCTGGGAGGGAATCGTTCGCTTCAGATATGACAGTTGAATTCAACGTTGCAGACAGTTCACCTCCACGACCCCTCTCTCGCGGACCTGGACATAAACAGTCCACTCTCTACGATACTGGAGATGAGAGCGAGTCTCCACCCCTGAATCCTGCCGACTCCATTTTTGACTATCCCGACGCTGAGAGCGATAACGAATCTGTGACTCCTCCTCTTCCACCTCTCTCTCCTGGAGCCACGCCCCGTGAGGCAGGGTCATCCACGCCCACAAATGCGTCCCAAGGGTTTTCGTTCTCTTCGTCCAATAAACCTCACCACAGACCAAAATCACCTCCTAAGACTCCAGATTTACTCAGAAAAATGACGGGGCCTGGGGGGTCATGGACTCAGGGTTCACGGAAAGATGGTGCACCGTCTCGACATTCTACAGCAGGGCGGTCACATGGAGTCGGGGCGGTGAAGGAGGAGAGGAGACACAACAGTTCAGGGCACGCCCACGGAGAAGGAGCAATCAGTAAAGCTGCTGGTGGCAGTCAGTACGGTGAGAGTGATAATGCTTTATGAATCCATCACTTGCTGTTACACAACCACCTATTGGGGACACTGATCTTCCAGGAGGCGGGAGAATCGGGGGTATGGGGTGATGGTGGTGGTCTCTTGACCCACTAATAGGGAGCGCATCTGTCCTAATTGTTCCGTGCCAACCATAGACTTGTAATGTTATTTCCTAGATGGTGCACTGTTTATCCTCCCCCTGTCTGTCTGTCTATGTGTCTGTCTGTCTGTCTTCTTGTGTGCCTCTCTCTCTCTCTCTCTCTCTCTCTCTCTCTCTCTCTCTCTCTCTCTCTCTGCCTCCCCATTCTTCTCCTTCAGTGTACTATTATGACATACAGGTTTGATTAATGATGTTTTGCTCAATATGTAGTCTTCGGAGTGCTCCACCATTGTATTTACCGTTTCAAAATTATTTTGTTTACTTTTCTATTTGTTAAGTTAATGTGAATATCTCCAGTTAAGTTTTAAAGCACTAATATGGACAGCAATTAGGTGGTGCAGGATTGATGAACCTCTTCAAAAAAAAAAAAGCTGACCGAACAACAGAAGTAAAGATCCACTGTTGGATATTTTGGTGGGTGGTTTGGGATTTGTGGAGAAACGGTGGAGGGTATTTCGTTGAGAGGAAAACGCATTCTTAGTACATAAAAAAGATCAAATTCTCGATGGAGGTAAAGTAATTGTGCTCAGCTTTATAACAATACATGTACTTGAAATACGTCACCAAAATATCGTTAAAGCTGCTCTAAATCGAAAAGTCTGGTGTTAGTTACGTTACGAAACATGGGCCTTTTCAGTGGAAATTGAAGATGAGAGGTGGTGTTTGGAGAATGCACTTTCTGGTTGCTAAACTGTACAGCAGTTGCTTTTGTTTGTTTGTTTTGTGTGTTTGCTTGGTTGTCGTTTTTGTTTTATTTTATTTTTGTTGGGGGGGGGGGGGGAGGTTGTGGGTAGGAGGGGTGGGGATCGAAAGCTCCTATTTTTTCTACCTTGTGCCCAATTTGTCTTTCGCGACCACTTAGAGTTTTGAATTTGCGATTGAGTCTTTTCAAGAGGACCAACGCAATTGCAACCTTTCCAACATTTTGTGAACGATTTGAACTCGTGAATTTCTTTTCAAATCATGAAAATCGCGAATTTAAGTCGGGTACAGAAGGAAAAAAAAACCTGTATAATACAATATTCTCAATGATCTTTTAAAAAATACAACAAACAATCAGACAAAAATTGTACCCATTCTTTGCTAGCTTCTTCGTGATTAGAATAGATCTAGATCTATAATATCGTGTTCAAATTCACAGCGCGTAGTAGGAGTCTGGAGGATGTCCGCGAGTCGGAGAATGAGAGCATGCTGTCTTTTGACGTGGAGAATACGCTACTGCTGGTGGAGCCCTCTGACCAATCGGAGATGGGAACACTCAGGTCACACAAGTCTGGAGGCTCTGTGCGAGCACAGCTACATAGGTAGGGCTATGGTTAGGTTGTCTTTTGCTTGTTTGAGTTTGTGGTGGTTTTGTTGATAGGTTGTTGTTGTTTTTTTTATCTGTTGTTGTTTTTGTCTGTATATATGTGTGTGTGTGTGTGTGTGTGTGTGTGTGTGTATGTGTCTGTCTGTGTGTGTATGTGTGTGTGTGTGTGTGTGTGTGTGTGTGTGTGTGTGTGTGTGTGTGTGCGCGCGCGCGCCCGTGTGTGAGCCCTCATACCAGTCGGATATGGGAACCGGAGACACACAAGTCCGGGGATTCTGTGCGAAGTTATACTTTGGTTGTCTTTTTCTTGTTTGTGTTTGTGATGATTTTTATTTTGTTTTATTGTCGTTGGTGGTGGTTGTGTGTGTGTGTATGTGTGTGTGTGTGTGTGTGTGTGTATGTGTGTGTGCGTGCGTGTGTGTGTGTGAGTGCGTGTGCGTGTGCGTGTGCGTGTGTGAGCCCTCAGACCAGTCGGAGATGGGCACCCTCAGGCCACGCAATGGGGGGGGGGGGGTACTATTCGAGCACAGCTACACAGGTATCGTTATTGTTAGGATGTCTTTTGCTTGTTTGTGATCGATTTTGTTGTTGTGGTTTTTTGTTGTTGTTGTTGTTTTTGTTGTTGTTGTTTCTGTTTTTAGGGGAGGGTTGATTCGGATGTGTCTATATATATCATATTTATAATTTTAATTATATATACACATACATACATAATATACATATATACACATGCATATTCATATATACATATACACAATATATATATATACATATAATATACATATTAATATACATGTTGGGTTGTTGCTTTGTTTTGTTTATTGTTTTCTTTGGTTGGTTAGTTTTTTTTAAGGGTATGCGTGTTTGTTTGGGGGGGGGGTGTCCTTAATCTTGTTTCTTTTTAACAATGTGCCATGGCATATTCCAGGCTAGAGGGCATGTACAGTCACGTGATGAAGACCCTGGAGGAGAACTCCCAGGCACCCCGCACCCGGCGCCGCTGGAGTATCGGCAGCTCGGACACAAGCTCCTTCCACCAACACTCCCACCAGGGCAAGCACTCACACTCACGGACAGCCAGTCAGAAGATGAGCAGCAGGGATGTGAGGTGGGGGGTCGTCATCATCGTCGTTGTCACTATCGTCATCGGCATTGTCATTGTCATCACCATCGTTATTGTCATTATCATCTTCATTGTCTTCGTCGCCGTCGTTGTCATCATCATCAGCTGAATATCTAGGGTTTTGCTAGTAGTAGTAGTAGTAGTAGTAGTAGTAGTAGTAGTAGTAGTAGTAGTAGTA